AAAAAAAAAAAAAAAAACACAAGGAAAGAAAACATCAAAAACTGATTCAAGGCAATCTCTCAAAGAGAACATTCTATGTTTCTGTGATGACAAACAGTTCACTTTCAAATTTCGGACTTTATAAGAACTGCATTGGACACTGACCAGCGAGAGACCAAGGCCTTCAAGATTCCGAAGGAAAATGATTTCCAGACTGGAGTTCTATACCCTGCCAAACAGTCATAAGTGAGAATGGACGGTAAAAACACTTCCTGCCACACACGGTCTCGCAAACGCTACCATCTACACTCCCTTTCTTCAGCATGTCTTTCATCTGAGGACTCATGGGAACAGAAAAGATGCAACACGAGAATGGCGGCAAAGGAAATTGCTACAGAATTTGTGGAACTTGACGGGTTCCTGCCAGTGCGACTCCAGAGATCACCATCAACAGCAAGCCTGCTTCCCACGCTAACTGTGAATGAGAAGTCCTGAAATTCAGGAAGGAAGGGGAGCCAATCTAGTAGGGCACATGGGTTTCAGGAGGACAGCGCAGAGAGGCAGTGCTAAGGACTCAGGCGGATGGAGGTTGTGTGCGTGAACAAGCCTGCGCCTGACACGCGCGTGAACTCTCAGTCCACTCAGTGGCCACGGGGCCAGTCGGTAAGAGATGATGCTCTGCAAGTGTGAGAGCAGCTTCGGGAGACTCAGTACCACATAGGGCAGTGAAATTATCCAGGGTCTCAAGGACTGGTGTTTGTCAGAATATCAGTTTGAACAAATTGGGTTAAGTACGACATAGAATTAATTTCATCTGTTTCTATTTACTCTATTGTGGCTACAAAGAAAGGTTAAATTACATATGTGGGGTGCATTATATATATATATTTTTGGACAGTGCACACTGACCTTATAGAAAATTGTTCTAAGAGGCTTATAAGAAGGAATGAGCAGTGGTTACACCGCCTGTCTCGAAAGTGCAAGGACCCGAGTTTGATCCCCAATACCAAAAAATAAAAATAAAAAAAGGTTATGAGAAAAATTAGAAACAGGTAAACAGAAATCTGTATGAAGGGAAAAAGGCAGTTATTAAGAGGGAAAATTTCTGAAAAGGAAACAACACAGTACACTATCTGTGACTATGCAGGCAAATGAACAATGAATGGTGATTTAATCAAAAAGCATAGGAGAACTGGGGAAGGGAGCAGAGGGGGGATAAGCAAAGGGGTGGCTGTTGAAGAAAATGAAATCTATTACTTAATACAGTAAATGTTTAAATTAATGAATCAAAAGATAAACATTTATTTGAAAACATGGATATATAAAAGCTAGAATCAGCACCTCTTTAAGAAGACAGCTGTCTGTGAGGAGAAAGTCTGGGGAAATGGCCAGAGGTAGAGGGGAGCAAACAGCTGGATTTCACAGTAACACTGTTACGAAATTATTTGACTTCTTCAGCCATGTGGATATTCAACTCAGATTAAAAAAAGAAAAAAGAGCTCCCACATTCTGCTATTCTACTTATTTATTTATAAAAGTATAAAATGGCAGGCAGGAGTTTTTGACTCCTATTAGAGACTAGCTAATATCTTAAAAGCACATCAACACAGACTTACCTCAGATCAAACAAATTAACCCAGCAGTAAAACATTGGTCCCATCATTTATGGACAAGGGGAAGCGCGCAGGGAAATGCTACAGACACAGCACAGAAAGATGGAATATAAATCTAAGTCTTCGGTGTTTTTCTACTTGTTCTTGGAAGCATTTAGCAATAGGTACAAATTCTTCCCATAAAGTGAAACAATCTGGTGAGTCCCGCCAAGTGCATGGACGGAGATGGAAGAAATCCTCCACATGGAGAAACCCTAGGTGAACCAACGTGCGCTCCAACCAAAGAAGGCCAATACCCAGCAGGGTCGCAGCTGATTTCATTCAGCCAGAAGGGTTATAAGTATGTATTTTTCTTGGGGGTGAGAGGACACTTTGGAGATGTCATTTAATAAAGATCCTGGGCAAATAAGGTGCTCACACAATAGTGATTTTAAAATAGATTTTGAAATTATACTTATAAAATGCACAGATTTTAAGTGGGTAGTCCTAAGTTTTCCTGACCAACTCTGAAGCATAATTCACATATTAAAAACAGCCACTGTAAGGGTTGAGTTTGGTGAATTTTAGGCGATGTTTTACCCACGTGACTATCAGTGCAACCAAGACACAGAACGTTTCTGTCATCCAAGCACGATCCCTAGTGCTCCTGTCCCAGTCAATAAACCCCACCCTGGCTGTCACCAAAGGCAAGTATGGATCTGCTTTGTACCCTTCAGGTTTTTCACAGGCCATCGAACTACTGAATCTATTTTCACAAAGCTGTTCTTAGTACTCCTTGTTATGGGGGGGATTCCCAATTTGTGTCTTCTTTTTCCCTTGACCAATTCAGCTAGAGATTAATCAGTTTTACTGATCTTTACTGATTTTCTTCAATTTATCTGTTTTGTATTTCACAGATTTCTACCCTTACCTTTAGAATTTCTTATCTGTGGATTTAATTTGATCTTTTCTAATTTCTCAAGATAAAAGCTTAGATATCAGAACTTTGTTCTTTTTTGAAGTGTGAACATTCAGTACTACAAAAGTTCCTCTAACATTGCTTTAGCTGCAGCCTACCAGTTGATTTCCATTTAGTTAAAAATGTACTCTATTTTTTTTCGCAGTTTAAGAAAAGATTATTTAGAAGTGTGTTAATTTCTAAACATTTGGAGTATTTTCTAGATAATGTGATTGATTTCTTTATTTTTTTTGGTACTGGGGGTTGAACTCCAGACCTTGCGCTTGCGAGGCAGCCCGCGGAACCACTGAGCTAAATCTCCGGCCTGTCTATTAATATTTTTATTGAGACTGGTTTCATGATACACAATATGATCTTTAAATATTTCAATGTGCAATTTAAAAAGTGTTGAGTGCTTTCTAAATGTCAGGTTAAGCAGGGTGATGGTATTAAGCCCATGATATTTCACTGATCGTTTTATCAATTGCCGAGAGAAGCATGTTGAAATCCATTTCATTACAAACGTTGGGCTCCCCTTCCAGTAGTCCTAGTGGTTTCTGCTTCATTTACTTGGAATTTCTGTTATGAGGTGCATAAGTTCTTAGGATTGCATGTCTTCTTCATGAACCGACCCCCTCTCATTGTTAGGAAACATCTC